GAGGCCGAGCGAGGAAGGGGGGGGAGGTCTTGGGGGGGGAGGCTTTGCTTTTGAATGGTGAAAAAGACCAGGGAGGGGCTTCCGCTGTGCAACAGCCGGCAAAAGCCTTGCACCCGGATCCTGGGAAGGTTTACTCACAAGTAAGTCATGGGGGCGGGGATAAGCTTTTCAGTCTCGGGAGAGAGAAAAATGCTGCTGTCTGTGCTTTTTTTTTTTTTTGATGGGGAGCTGAAATCAAATAGTTCTTTTTCTTGTTGCTGTTCAGTCGCACAGTCTCTTCTGGACCCCATGGACCAGATCCCACCAGGCCTTCCTGTCTTCCCCGTCCTCTGAAGTTTGCTCAATTTCATGTTTGTTGCATCTATGACACTGTCTCACCATCTCATCCTTTGCCGTCCCCGTCTTCTTTGACCTTCAATCTTTCCCAGCATCAGGGTCTTCTCCAGTGAGTGCTCCCTCCTCATTGGGTGGCCAAAGTATTTGAGCTTCAGTTCCATTATCTGGCATTTAATAAATACTTTAAAAGCATTCTGTCCAGATCAAGGGAGGTGGTAGTTCCACTCTATTCTGCTATGATCAGGCCTCACCTGGAGTACTGTGTCCAGTTTTGGGCACCACGTTTTAGGAAGATGTTGACAAGCTCAAGCGTGTCCAGAAGAGGGCAACCAGGATGGTGAGAGGGTTGGAATCCAAGTCTTGGGAGGAAAGACTGAAAGAGTTGGGTCTGTTTAGCCTGGGAAAGGCTTAGAGGAGACATGATTGCAGACTTCAAGTACCTGAAGGGCTGTCATGTAGAAGATGGAGCAGATCTATTGTCTCTTGCTCCGGATTGCAAGTCTAGATCTAATGGGTGGGAATTACAAGGGAGTCGTTACCGGTTAAATATCAGGAGAAACTTCCTAACTGTAAGAGTGGTTGAGCAGTGGAACAGACTGCCTTGGGAGGTGGTGGATTCTCCTTCGCTGGACGTTTTCAAGCGGAGGCTGGACGACCATCTTTCGGGTATGTTGTAGGGCTGTCTTTCGGCTATGCTCCTGCAGAGTGCGGGGGGTTGGACTAGATGACCTGCAAGGTCCCTTCCAACTCTAACTTTCTATGATTCTGTGAAAAATGTCTTCCTGAAAAGAATATCTCCACAGAGAATTGGTGGAGCCAGTGATCGCCCGCTCTCTCCTCCGCCCTTCCGAGGCCAAGAGATCGAGAGAGAGCAGGAGCCAATCACTCTCCAGGACTTCTTGGATCGCTTTCGACCCCTGTCAGTCTGTTTTCAGAGTGGCCGATGGGACGGAGACCGGCTCTCCTGGCCTGAGTGGACGATCTTCCTCTAAACGTAGACAAAGGTCCGGCCTCCTTGTGGCTCCTACTGGCTTTCTCTGCTGCCCTTGACTGAGTGGAACCTGCCGTCTTGCTGGGGTGCCTGGAGGCAGAATTAGGCATGGGGGTGGCTGTGGGTTGCAGTGGGTCAAATCATTCCTCGTGGACCCAAAGAATGGTCACTGGAGATCAGTTATCCATTTGGGAGGCACAGGGCCTAACCCCCCCACCCCCCCCCCCAATGCTCTTCTGTCTTTATGTAAAGCTCTAAGGCCAAATCTCCTAATCCAAATCTCCTGGTGACGGATGCAGTTGGGAGTCCTGAATCGCTGCCTGGCTGCTGTGGTTGAATGGCTAAGAGAGAACGAATTGAAAGGGACTCCTAGGAAGACCAAAGTAATGACGGTTGGGAAGGTGGCGGTCTTGAAGGACATTCTGCTTTTCCATGATGAGTTCAGCCGACCTTCGCAGGGGTTTTACTGGACCCCACAGGATCGCTGGAGAAGCACGTGAATGCCGTTGCAGAAAAAGGTTTCCTTCCAAGTAAGGCTAGCCTTCCCTTGATAGGGTGGATCTGGCCACCTGGATCCATGTCACGGCGACATCGGTGACTAGACTACTGTAACGCGCTGTACGTGGGTCTCCCCTCAAGATCAGTTCGGGAACTCCAGTTGGTGCAGAATGCCGCAACTTGGCTATTACCGACTGCTAGATTGAGCATGCATATGACTCCCCTTCTGCAGTCACTTCACTTGGCAGTTACGGGGCTCAGTTTAAAGGACTGGCTATCCCAAACAGAGCCCTCTATGGCCTTGGAGCCTCCTACCTGCAAGACGGTCTCTCCCCTTATGCTCTGCCATGACGGCTTCGCTCATCTGAGCAGGGACTTCTGCAGGCCCCACCCTGCTGCACATGGGCAGAATCCCTGACCTGGAGAGGCCTTGTGCTCCTTCTGCCCCTTCCCCCCCCCTGCCAAGTACTGGTGTAGCGGTTAGGAGTGTGGACTCTTAATCTGGGAGAACCGAGTTTGATTCCCCACTCCTCCTTCACATACAGCTGCTGGTGTGACCTTGGGCCAGTCACAAGTCCTCTCAGAGCTGTTCTCTCAAGAGCAGTTTCTGTCAAAGAGCTCTCTCAGCCTCACCGACCTCACAGGGTGTCTGTTGTGGGGAGGGGGAAGGGAAAGGAGTTTGTAAGCCGCTCTGAGGCACCTTTGGGTAGTGAAGGGCCGGGTATAAATCCAATATCCTCTTCTTCTTCTCTTCTGTTGCCAAACACATCCAGTCTATGGAGGCGGTATTTTCAATGAATCATAGAATCATAGAATGTTAGAGTTGGAAGGGACCTTGCAGGTCATCTAGTCCAACCCCCTGCACTCTGCAGGAGCACAGCCGAAAGATAGCCCTACATACCTACAACATACCCGAAAGATGGTCGTCCAGCCTCCGCTTGAAAACGTCCAGCAAAGGAGCACCCACCATCTCCCGAGGCAGACAGTTCCACTGCTCAACCACTCTTACAGTTAGGAAGTTTCTCCTGATATTTAGCCGGTAACGACTCCCTTGTAATTTCCATTAGATCTAGTCTTGCAATCCGGAGCATGCCATGGTTAAGCTCTTGCCAGTCTCTTTGTCCGGGGCTCTGGTTTATTCTGAGAGTAGCCCGTACTCCGATATGCAGTCATCAGAGGCCAAGATCGTAACATCGGCCACAGATTTTTAAGGAGCCAAATAAAGACGGTCTAGTTTCCTGAAGGACCAAAGGGGCATATCTAAAAAAAGGTCATATAGCACGATGACATTAATCCTGACCCGCAAACTAAACGAGGACTCTCCGTCTGATTCATTGGGGCGATCTTTAAGGTGTCTTTTGACCACGGCCGGTGATGTAGCTCCATTCCTTTTTGGTTTCCTTCCTTCCTTTTTTTTTTTTTTTTAAAAAAAATAGTTTTTATTTTGAACTTTTTGAGGGAATACAGAATAAAGAAAAGGGACAAGGGAAAAGAGTAAAAGGTAAAAATCATCGAAACATAGCATAAAGGGCATTTTTTTGCAAATATAAAGGACAATCCTTGATTCAAATACTTGCCTTTTTAGGAAAATTATATGGCATAATAACTTTAGAAACCACCAGGGGTCATTCCGTAGGAAAAGAGGTGCAGGAGCTCATTAGCATAACTCATTAGCATAACGTATTTGCATATGCCACACACCCTGTCATCACTGGAAGTGTGTCAGAAGGCAACACCCACCGCTCAGGCTCCACTGGACTGTTTTGGATTGCTAGCTATTGGGGAGGGAGGAACGTGCAGATCTGTCCTCGCAGAGGAGGGAGAGCTTGTACCTGAATAAAACTTGATCTTAAAGGTGCCACTGGACTGTTTTGGACCGGGGGGCCGGTGCGGAGGGCTCTGCAACTTACCTGGCTGCTTCTTGCTCTGACTGAGGGCTGCTGGGAGCAGGGGGTGGAGCTTGTTGCATGTGCCCGCCCTCTGGGCTCTTTACTGCCGGAGCTCCGCTCCTATCCGCTCCTGCAGAAAATGACCCCTGGAAATCACTATCGCTTCCTTTTGGTTTCTTGCTGCTTTTTTGATATGTTTTCCTCTCTCTCTTCATAGTCACATGAGTTAAGGGTATCTTCCCACAGTCGGAGGCAACCCACGCAAAGGGGAAGGAGATGGAAGAGCAGGACCCAGAAGGACCAGGAACTGGCAAGAGAGCAAGGAAAGTTCCCCATCCCATCCAAGCAGAGAGTGGCCCTGAATTCTGGGAAAGAGCTGTGACGGAGATCCTGGCTCAGGACACCGTGACCTCAGATGCACATTGCCAACGCTTCCGGCTGTTCCGTTACCATGAGGCCAATGGGCCCCGAGAGATTTGCAGCCAGCTCCATGGACTTTGCAAGCACTGGCTAGAGCCGGAGAGGCGCACCAAGAAGCAGATGCTGGACCTGGTGATCCTGGAGCAGTTCCTGACTCTCCTGCCCCAGGAAATGCAGGGCTGGGTCAGAGGATGTGGGCCAGAGACCAGTTCCCAGGCAGTGGCCCTGGCCGAAGGTTTCCTCCTGAGTCAGGCAGAGGAGAAGAGGCAGGCAGAGCAGGGGAGGGGGTTTCCTTTGCTCAGTTCAAGCAGCAACCTTATCCTAAGATAAGGGAGCCAGTTTGGTGTTGTGGTTCAGTGCGTGGACTCTAATCTGGGAGAGCCGGGTTTGATTCCTCGCTCCTCCACTTGCACCTGGCTGGATGACCTTGGGCAAGCCCTAGTTTTGATAAGAGCTGTCTTTGAAAAAGAGCCGTTTCTGTCAAGAGCTCTCTCAGCCCCACCTACCTCACAGGGTGTCTGTTGTGGGGAGGGGAAGGGAAAGGAGTTTGTAGGCCACTCTGAGACACCTTTGGGTAGTGAAGGGCGGGGTATAAATCCAATCTCCTCCTCCTCCTCTTCCTCCTCCTCTTCTTCCTCCTCTTCTGCCTCTTCCTCTTCTTCTTCTTCTTCTTCTTCCCTCCCAGATATTTCTACCTATGGAGAATCTTCTTGGCTAGGAAGACAATCCAACCTTGATTCTTGCCCCTGTGGCTGAATCAGCAATGCCGGTCGACGCAGGGGTTAGAAGTCTGGGAGTGGGACAGGATCCATCTCCTCGGCCTGTTCCGTTGCTTCTCTGACCCATCTCCTTTCCTGCTCTTTCAGATGTGGGGACCAGCAGTGAAGATGGAAGCTAACTTCTCTGAGGAGGAAGGGTCTCCTTTGGAGGAACGGAAGAGGGCTCAGGCCCAGGAACTTGCCCAAGGTGGCTTCTCATGCGGCAAGGCTGTTTTGTGGTCAGGTGGGATTGGGCCACCCAGTAAAGTTCTTGGGTAGAAGGTTTAGGACAACAGAGAAAAGGAAATACTTCTGCACACAACACAGAGTTGAGTTCTGGCACTCAGTTCCATGGCGTATAGTGACGGCCACTCACTTGATCAGACAGAATTGTAGAAGGCAATCCTGGGTGCACCTATCAGCCACGGTGAATGAATGGAACCTCCACGTTCTGGTGCAGCGTACCTCTGAAAACACGTTGCAAGCAATGTTCCCTCTACGCTGAGTTAGTGTGAGCTAGCTCACAGTTGTTTTAGCTTCTGGCTCACAGGTTTTTGTCTTAGCTCTGGAAGGGTGGCTCCAGGGCAAACTCATTTATGCAGGAACCAAGTCGCTGGCTCACAACTTTAATGCCAGGAGCTCACCAAGTAGAATTTTTGCTCACGAGACTCCACAGCTTAGAGAGAGCACTGATTGCATGTGTCCAACATTTGCCATATGTGCCCCCTGATTAGGAGCATCCGGTGGGCCACCCTCAGAAAGAGGAGGGTGGACTACAGGTGCCAACTCGTAGGTTGGTACCCCTGTGATGTTTGAGGGTGCCGTGCAGACTGGATGTGATGTGAGGTCAGAGCAGCAGCAGACACCCTGGAGACCCTTCGGTATTACCCTGGAGTTTTCACATACGCTGAACACAGGGGTCATTTCATAGAAAAAGAGGTGCAGGAGCTCATTAGCATAACTTATTAGCATAACTTATTTGTATATGCCACACTCCCTGACATCACCGGAAGTGTATCAGAAGGCAACACCCACCACTCAGGCTCCACTGGACTGTTTTGGATTGCTAGCTATTGGGGGGGGGGCAGGAAATCCCTGCTCACAGAGGAGGGAGGGACTCT